TTTCCCTACTCTGATTTGAGAAACTTCCAAGAGAAGCAGCAGAAAAATTTTCTCCCTGGCAAACCCGCTTTCTTATGCTCTTTTTACGGTCTTTTAACAATTGGTGTTCCTTCAAGCAAAAAAAAAAGGCTTTGTCAGACCAGAGTATGAACTATGAAACAATCTCAAATTGAATAATAATGCATAATATTCGATTCAAACAAAGGGGATTTATTCACGAAAAACAATTTTCTTCATTAATAAGTGAAAAAATGCATCATCAACTAACCAAGGACTCTATAAAGAGTTTAAATCTCCTGGGTTTTAGGTGAAGTTTTGAAGCTTTGCAGCTATACTTTTCCAGTAGAGACCACCTGCAAGATACATGGCAAAACATGTTAAGACGCACAGGTGAACAATAATATGACACTTATTAAGACACATGATCTGTCAAATGAATTCATTCAAGATAACAAAAGAAAAGAAGGTGATATTCACACTATAGGTCATTTTCTCCGTCTTATTAAGGAAGAGATTGCCACATTTATCTTAGCTTAAATAGAACCAGCATATATCTTATCAAAAGTTTTGTAATAAATGGGAGCACAGGAAAACCTGCAAAGAGTAATCCTTTACATATTGCTATATTCACTTGCATTTTATTTGCAGCATAAAGAATAAAGAAAAAGGAAAAAGTATCTTTCAAGTACCATCGTAGCATTGCAGCATTTGTGTCCTTTGGGTTTTTAGCATCCAGACTTAGTTCTGGACCCAAAAGTTTGTTCATCCGTCTTACTAGACGATAGTAGTAATGCCTCACCTGTAAATCACAAGGCGCGGAAATTCCATTACCATGAGAAATGGAAAACACCGAAATATACAATGGAAAAGAGAAGAAAAACAGTTCTTCTACAAACCAACCTGATCCTTGTTTTTACTTTGGACACGAGAAGTGATCTTCTCAAAGTTCTGCAACCAATGGTGAAGATAGTCAATCACCTACAAGGCCTTGAGAAAGAAAACCCAAACAGATACAACATCAGCAACATACCTTGCCAACTTGACGAAGTGCAGTAAAGAAACTTTCCTCTTCTTGATGCGTCCATGCAGCCCATTGCCTTGTTGGCTTCTTAGCTCCTGCTCCTCGTCGGACAAAATGAAGCAAACAATAAAAAAGAGAACTCGAGTTTCCGACAAGGTTAAAAGCAGATATGCATAAATTTTCAGAGATATGTGGCAGACCAGGCAACTGAACAACATTGGTAGCGGTGGAAGCAGCAAAAGACGGATTGCCATCCTGGTTTAATAAGGGGCCCTGATCTAAAGGGCTTGCTGCGTTCAACAAAACCTGTGGCTCCACTTGCATGGTGGCAAAATTTGCTAAAGCATTAAACCTTCATGCTTTTGAGATCCCAAAATCTTTGGTGAAAGCAGCTTCCTTCTGGTTTCAACTTCGCACAAAATAGACCAGTGGCTCCTAACATTGAAAAAATAAACAATTTTATAACCTTCAGGAATGTATAAAAAAGACAAAGACTCAATCAAACGTGGACACAGAATCATCAAGCGAAGATGTTAGAAAACAAAAATGTAACCAACTTCAGAGACAACAATAATGACATTGCAAAATTTACACCTCCCCAACATTTGCTAAAAAAGGATGGAAACAAGAGCCTCAAGCAATAACGACGAACTATTAAATCAAGAAGCCCTAACGAAAGTTTTGTCAAAATGAAAGATAAAGTAATTCTAACCAAAATTTCATCACGCCAAAATGAAATGCCGAACTACTGCTCAACTCAAAGTCACGAGGAATTCAAATGTTCTCCTTTTTAACATGACCTGAAACAGATGAAATCCAGATTTTGAAAGAACAACAAGCCCAGATCTTAAGAAAGTACTCTAACCGAAATTTCATCAGGTCAAAATGAAATGCCAGACTGAACCCCAGTTTGGATGCTAATCGCCTAAACAGACAACATCCCACTCGCCTTTGTTAATCATGTACTGATCTAAATCAGAATTTGACAAAGACAACTAGAAAATCCACGACCATATTTCAAGTAAAATCCAGAAAACAATTGATGTTCACAAAAATCGAGCGCAAATTCAAGTCTAGGGTGGATAAAGCGACTCTCCCTGATGGCAGCAAGTGATTTCGATGAGACCCTGTACTCACACTTCTGAGCAAACAAACGACATTATCCCGAATCCTAATTCTAAACAATGATTCCAAATCACAACAATTTCTATTACTGCAAAAAACTATTCACGAACATCAGGACATGAGCAAACCCAGAAACACCAAAACCTTTGTCAACCAAAGAAGCAAAATGGGTTCATGAAACGAAATCCCCGATAACAGCTGGAAAACAAGATCAGAGATGCCCACAATTCGAAACATAAGGACATCACAAGCAAGATGAAGAGACAGATTAACAAAAACCCTAAAACAATAACGAAAACGATCGAGATAAAGAGAGAGAAGAGACCAGTCAATAACGACGACGGAGGTAGTCCGGCGAATACGATGCTCCGGTGACGGCGGTGGTTTAACGACAAAGGCACGACTTCGTCAAGTTTCACGGAGCGGCGGTCTTCTATTGCACGAGGGACGATGATCGGGAAAAAAATCAAACAGAGAACAGATTCGAAAATTACCAAATCTAAGTTTACCTTCCACACAATCTTGCAATTAAGAGATGACGCGATTGATGAAAGTTCGTAATTTGGCATGAATCTAAAAAAAATGAAATTGAGATTTTCGTATGAACATTAGCAGTCGAACCCTCAGGGCGAAAAAATTCTTGTCTTTTTCATTTATTTTCTTGTTTTTTTAAAGGATGGTAAAAAAAAAATAAAAGGGTACAATTAATAAAATTACAATTGCAAGTCCCAAAAAGATATGAAACAGAATTTTGTAACGGTCCGTCATAGATTTTTCTAAATTTTTATTTTAATACTTGATTTTTTTACAAATAAATATTAACTTTCAAAGGCGTGAATATATTTATTTATTATAATTATTTAAGATTAAACTGAACAACAATAAAAAATTATTATTTATTACCATTAGAGTTTTGATTATACGACGTTAACTAAAAATTATATACGAATTTTTGAATATTTTGTGTAATTTAAATCCTACTTTTGAATAATTGATGTAATTTAAACAGTTTGAGATTTTTTTAATGTCTAGATTAAAACTTGAAATTTTAATATATTTATCTATTACACAAAATCTAATAATTTAATTTAAAACTGTACTTTTAAGTTTTAAACTTCATAGTAAAATATTAATATATATTTCATTACAATTTCTAAAACTAAAATATCAAAATAAAAAATCATAACCCACATATTTGAGGTTATTACATTACATGGACACCTAAATCAAAATAATGTTCCTGTAACAATACAATTATACAAGCAACAAAAGTCCACCAAAATTAACATAACAATTACAGTTTGAATAAAAATAAAATAATTGGAAAAAAATATAACTAATTTTCTTATTTAAATTAATTGAAATTTAAACTACTGACATGATATGGATATGAGAGTATGATCGATATAATTTTTAATGAATTTACCAAAATATTTACTTTGTAAGATATAATTAATTAATATGCTTCAAATATACATAGTTTTAGATTATTAATACCACTATATAACTTATATTGTCAATGATTTTTCTAAATATATTTTATAAAAATATAAAATTTTAAAATATTTTATCGAAAAAGAAAATTTTAATGATGAATATAAGAATTATAATTGAAAAACTCAACAGAAAAATCTCAAAATATGAAATACTTGTCCTTAAAAATGTGCTAACTATTTTTTATAAAATACTCTAGGAAATTTTATAAGAAGTTCATTAAACAGTTAGATTGTAATACTGATTTTTCAGGAAACTAACATTTTAACTACTAAAATATAAAAAATGTTAATAACGAACATTCGAATTCATCTTATATTTCTATTTGATTATTTTTATTTTTGGATTTTATAAAAAAAAATATAACTATTGGATTTTTTACTGGATTTTCAGTTATCTCGCTGACTTTACTTAATAATATAATTTTATTTTTAATATTTTCTCATTGAACTTAATCGGGTCGCAAGTGTCAGTTTCGGGATGATCGCGGTGGCCTGAAACGACCAAAAAGCCCATTCTAACTTATAGCATTGACTCTTCGTCGCCCTCTACCAATAACATCGCTCAGTTACTGTGCACCCTACCGTCTCTGATCCCAACCACCGTCCCAGATCCGACCCGCTAAAGAGATCCTTCCCTGAAAATTCGTTTGATTCGCATTTTCCCCTGTTCCATTTATCTTCTTCTTCTTCTTCTTCGTCCTCATCCACTGTTTGGGCTCAAGCTTTTTCCAGGCACGTCATCTTCGTCCTTCTTCTGGGTACTCGTTTTTTGGGTTTTCCCAGATACTCGAGAAGTGTTTCTGTTGTGGTTCTGTTGATTTTCAACTGGTCACGTGGGATCTGATTTTGGTTTTGTTTTTTTTGCGGTGTTCACAAGTTTTCGGATTCGGGAATGTTTTTTCCTCGATTTCTGCTTGTTTTCTGTCGGATTCGGTGTTTTTTCAATTGGATAAAGATGAGTTTGGATCGGTTTGTATGCGGCTCTGCGCCCAGAGAATCGTGTTTTGTTAACGTTATCCACTGGCTTTTCTGTTATTTAACTCATAGGTAGTGTAGCGACTGTTCGTTGCTCCTGAGATAATGATTTGCGTCGTCGAATTTTACGTTGGGTTGATACATATTTGCTGATTGGTTGAGTTCTCGATGTTTCTGGGGACATCGTCAGATAAATCGTTTGGTCGTTCACTTCAATGAATCCGATGCCTATGTTCTTGTTGTAATGTTTGTAGGTTCTGTCTCTTATGTATTAACATGCTTCCATGGAGCTAATCTCTGTGTTATTCATAACGCATGAGAAGCTTCTCTCAAATATCCCGTTTTTATGCATCTAAATACGTATGTTATATTTTATTAAAAAAAACCCTGAATCATGCAGTTTCGGTTTTCAAGCAATTAGTTTTGTTGGATTCTTGCATCATTTTTTAAAATACTGAGTGAAAAGGGTTCCTTTTGCATGGGCTTGGCATACTATCTTGTTCGTAGACAACCGTCTTTCTTTAATGTCATTTATCGTTTGCTAGTAGTGAACTCACTCAGAGTTACTCAGATTTTGATTTGTATATTTGAATCATATGTTCGTATGAGAATGATACTGGGTCTCTACATACATATATATATATATATATGTGTGTGTGTGTGGATTGGTTTGAATGCTATATCTTGTTCTCTGATAACTCACGGAGAGTGAATTCTCCTGTGATTTGGGATTATTCTGTGCGTTTGTTGGTTGATGCAAATTTCTTGATGGCTGAGTTCTCAATGTTGTTGTCAAATTAATTGTTTCACAGTTCACTTCACTTAATCTGATGCATATGTTCTTGTTGTCATGTTTGCGTGTTCTGTCTTAAATATTGACATGTTTCCTGTGGAGCTAACCCATCTTAGTCATTTATACGACGAGCTTCTCTAACATATTCTGTTTTTTGTCAATATAAATATGTATGCTATATTTTTGTTCTTTAAAATCTGAATCATACGGTTTTCGAGTTTTATGTTTGCAAGTCAGTCCCCATAGAGAAACTTTAGGCAGACACCAAGTGATATTTCAGTCTTTTTGCTGCAGAGTGCCTTAGTCCAGAGGTTTTCCGGACATTTTAGTTGGAAAAAAGGATGGAAGATACCGAGGCCATGAATTCAGACGGCTTAAAGAACCGACCCTTAACTCCGTTAAGGATGCTGAGGGGTCTGATGATTTTAGTTGTGTTTCTGTCTACTGCTTTTACGTTCTTGGTCTACTTCTCGCCTGTAGCTGTTGTTGGTCTCCGGCTTCTGAGCGTGCACCAATCTAGAAAAGTTACATCCTTCATCTTTGGCCTCTGGCTCGCTTTGTGGCCGTATCTGTTTGAAAAGATTAACGGGACTAAGGTTGTTATGTCTGGAGACAGAATTCCGCAAGATAAACGGGTTTTGGTCATTGCAAACCACAGGACGGAAGTCGATTGGATGTACTTGTGGAACATTGCCTTGAGAAAAGGGTGCCTTGGCTACATCAAATACGTGCTCAAGAGCAGCTTAATGAAATTGCCCATTTTTGGCTGGGGTTTTCATATTCTGGAGTTTATCCCGGTAGAGAGGAAGAGAGAAATCGATGAACCTGCCTTGCTTCAATCTCTCTCGACTTTTAAGAATCCTCAAGATCCATTGTGGCTCGCCCTATTCCCAGAAGGAACTGATTTCACGTACTATCTGCTCCCTATCTGATTTTATATAAGTTTCTACATTTTAAATGCTTCATAGAATATCCTGACATATTCAGCCAGTGTATCACTTAAAGGAATTATCAATTTCCCTTCCATAAGTTTTAACATCACAGGTGGTAAGCATGGTTGGGTGAAATACTTGCCCTTAGGCTTTCTTCTTTCGTATTTTCTAATCTCTCTACCCATTTTCTGTGACAGCGAAGAAAAATGCAAGAGAAGCCAAAAATTTGCGGCTGAAGTTGGGCTCCCGACATTAACAAATGTGCTTTTACCAAAAACAAGGGGCTTTGGCGTTTGCCTGGAAGTTTTGTGGAACTCTTTGGATGCTGGTACATTTTTCTATGTAAATTTTGCCTCTCTTGTCATTTTCCCTTATTTCATATGATTTTCACCTGTTGTCCATTCTATGATCCATGTCGCATTTCTGCAATATGTTTGCTTTACCGGTCTTAATGTCTGCTAGTTTACTTTGTAAAAAAAAACCCATCTGCACAATGCCGCGAAAAATGTAATCTTTATGTTTAATACCGAAATTTCCCTCATATCTGACATTATCTTCTGGACATGCAGTCTATGATTTGACGATAGCGTACAAGCCTCGGTGTCCATCTTTCTTGGACAACGTATTTGGCACTGCTCCTTCAGAGGTTCACATTCATGTCCGGAGAATTTCAGTAAAGGAGGTTCCGGCAGGCGACCCAGAGGCTTCTGCTTGGTTAATCGATTCCTTTCATTTGAAGGACAAACTGCTCTCGGATTTCAAATCCCAGGGTCAGTTCCCTAACCAAAGACCAGAGGATGAACTCTCTATGCCGAAATGCGTCACGACTTTTGCAGTGGTAATTTCGTTGACAGCGTTATTCATTTATCTGACGTTTTCTTCCTGCATTATTTTTAAAGTATACGTCTGTCTAAGCTGCACATATTTAGCTTGTGCGACCTATTATAAGTTCCGACCCTCGCCTCTCCTTCGTTGTTTGACGGGAGATTTTTGCAAAGAAGTAAAAACCCATTAGCATTTCTGTACATTCATTCATCCATTGCATACAAAGAAATAATCTGAAGGATCCACAGCCTAAAAGGTTCTGTGTCTATTTCTTGTTTTCTGGTGAGTTCTCTGAATTATATATGGTTGCTTGGTGATTGTGCTAACCTTGCAACCCGGGATTTTCTTTTTTTCATTCACAAATTCTTTTGACTCAACCTAACCCATATCTGTAGCTGCACTGCTGTGGCTTCAAAATGTGAATGCCAGTGTTAGCATTTGCTGTCTTCTGGGCTATATATATCATCTTCTTTGCAGCACTTTGTTAGGTAATATCTGGAACCCCTTTTGTCCTTGGGAAAGTTTTTCGACATAGCTGGATTTCCCATGTCATGGTGCAAGAAATTTGTCGCCGAAATCAGCAGCAAAAGTCATGGATTCAATGCAAAATATGACAAGGGGGTGGGGGGTGGGGGGTGGGGGTGTCGCTTAAATTAGAAGCAGCAGGTCATAGTTTAAACCTTGTTGTTGTCAGAAGCCATGTGCTGATTTCAGTTGGTTAAGGCAGTTTCCGAGTGGCAAACCCCAGGTCGGTGATGGAAGGGGCAGAGCCCTTAACTGCTCCATGGGATCTTGCCAGGTTGAGTTCATGTTTTTTTACAAGCCAAACTCTCTCTCTCTCTCTCTCTCTATATATATATATATATATATATATTGTGTCATATGGTTTATCCTGTCGAAATGTTGGGTCATATGCTTGAGCTTTATCTCCTTATCCAAAGCAGGTGGCAACAGTGAGATCATGTCTTTGCAGTTGATAGAAACCGACTTTTCTCGGCCTTTGTTATCTCTCTGCTTCGGTTATAAAAGTGTCGACGAACCGAAAGAAACTCCAAAACAAGCCAATGCGGATTCTGTTCATCAAACCCACCTGAAAAAATAAATAAAAACCTCATTTCTGTTGGTTATGTCGTGGATTCATGAAGAGAGTATAAAACGATTGGGTTTGGACTAACGGGTGTCAATTTAGTCTCGAGGCCTGAAGTCCGGTCCGAGTCTACCTGAAAAATATCGAGTTTCCGGTCTAAATTTTTCGTTTCGAGAAAATTAGGCTTTCGAGGTGGGTTTGATTCAGATAGGTCCAAAAATCCGATAAGTTTTAAAAAAAATAATAATAAAAAAAAAGAAAATAAATAAAATTACAAAAAAATTGAGCGGTCTGACCGTTCTAAATCCGAAACTTATGCTCAGGCTTCAGATTTGGTTATATAGGTCCGAAAAAATTCGAACCAGTCCAAACCCAATTGACACCCCTAGTTCGGATAAATACAAACTGTGTTTTAGTTAATGTATTGGACGGTTATAGAATCTAGTAATGATAATGGTCGAATATAATAACATGGATAGATCTCGATCCCGGTATTAATTTGGTTTTGGTATAGAATATTTTATCAAAAAAATCCGGTGAAAAATAGACATATTTGATAATTAACGTAATAAAAATGAAATTGAATCACGTTAAAGTGTAAAATTTCTAGGTATTTCGAATATCTTTAATTCAATGTACGGTTTCTAGTCATTTGCAAAGAACCACTAAAGGAAAGGTCCCAACTCTTTGGAAGATATAGTTTTGGTGGGTTACGTAATATACACGAAACTAAATCACGTGATTAGGGTTTATAATGCCTTCTCCGTCACGGTAGGTTTGGAGATCGGTCTTTGATGGAGTTAAAGCCGATGATTGCTCTGTCTGAATCGCTCCAATTAAATGCCCAATGTCTCTAAAATTGAATTCGGTTTGATGTTCGGATCACTTTGATTTTGTGTGTGTGTGTGTGTGTGTGTGTATATATATATATATATGAAAATAAAAAAATGTATATAGATAAATATATGGCTTAAACCAAAAAAATATATATGGCAGTTATAAAATAAACGATTATTTTAAACGGAACTTCATGCGAACGTGTGGAAGTGGTTACAATTACACGTGGGCTCTTCCACGTCTCTTTATTTATGTATTTATTTATTTTCTTAGTTTTAATTTCACAACATCAAAAATGCTAGTCATGCATTTTTTTATCCCATTTACTGTAAATTAATACTCAACATTTAATGTTTTTTCAAATCGACAATTACTCCTAACGAGCGTTTATTTCTGATTAACTAACGCTAAGAATTTCACTGTTTATAAAATTTTATAACAAATAATTTCTTTTAAGCAATCATTTTGTTATAGAAATTGCGTAGAATAACCATAATTCTAGTATGATAAAGACTCTAATCTTGTTTAGATTAGGGCAATAATGGTGCTGATACGTAGGGGTAAAACAATTGATCTAGATTTATTATTTTTCGTTTGGAATTTTTGTTTTTACAAAAAAGTATAATATTCAGTTTTATATTAAATTTCGGTTCATTTCGAACTTTAGTAAAATTCAGTTTTTGTTAAAATAAAATATTCATTTTGTAAATATATTTTTTTCTATCGATACGGTTGATATAGTTAACTTAGGATCAAATCTAATTAAAATAAATTTAATCATGAGTTGACAACAATTAAGTAAAATGAATTTCACATCGGAGGCAAGGGTGGATCTCGTGATGATTAATTTGAAGACTCACAAAGAGAACCGAAGGCAAATTCTCACATAAGCATAATCGGCATAAAGATCCTCTCCCGATTCTCCACTCTTTTGTATGTTTTTTTGCGAAAATTTTATTTCTCAAATCAAGAAATTGGAAATTAAATTAAATTAAAATTAATATAGTAATTAAATTCACCAATTATAAATAGAGGGTCCGGTGAGAGTAACTGCCAACACTCAGCGACAAACAAACAAACAAAAAAAATTGCTCTCAGCTTCTTCAGATCAAAATGGCCATTTTCTCCAGATTTTATCTTCTGTTCTTCGTGTTCCTCACAGGTACGCTTTCTCCTCATCGCTGCCTCCTCTGCTATATTCCCGACATCCTCCTCTGTTTTGTCCTGTTTAAGGATAGTAATGGCAATTTCACTTGTCTTCACAAAATATCGCATTTTCTGGATTTGCCCCATTAACCGTTTTAATCTTCTCTGCTTTCAGGCGCCTCCGCCACCGTCTTTACCATTGAAAACAGCTGCCGCTTCACCGTCTGGCCCGGTGTACTCTCCGGCAACGGCGCTACCCTCGGCGACGGCGGGTTCCCTCTTCCGCCGGGATCCTCCGTCAAGCTCACCGCCCATCCGGGATGGTCCGGCCGCTTCTGGGCACGGACCGGTTGCAACTTCGACTCCTACGGCCACGGAAACTGCCTCACCGGCGACTGTGGCGGCGTCTTGAACTGCATCGGTGGCGGCGCTCCTCCAGTGACTCTCGCCGAGTTCACTCTCGTCGGAGCCTCCGGCAAGGATTTCTACGACGTGAGCCTCGTCGACGGCTACAATGTCGAGATGGGTATCCGAGCGTTGGGCGGTTCCGGCGATTGTCAGTACGCCGGCTGTGTATCCGACGTGAACGCGATCTGCCCGAGCGGCGGTTTCCCTCTTCCGCCGGGATCCTCCGTCAAGCTCACCGCCCATCCGGGATGGTCCGGCCGCTTCTGGGCACGGACCGGTTGCAACTTCGACTCCTACGGCCACGGAAACTGCCTCACCGGCGACTGTGGCGGCGTCTTGAACTGCATCGGTGGCGGCGCTCCTCCAGTGACTCTCGCCGAGTTCACTCTCGTCGGAGCCTCCGGCAAGGATTTCTACGACGTGAGCCTCGTCGACGGCTACAATGTCGAGATGGGTATCCGAGCGTTGGGCGGTTCCGGCGATTGTCAGTACGCCGGCTGTGTATCCGACGTGAACGCGATCTGCCCGAGCGAGCTCCGCGTCGTGGACCCCGGTACGGGTGACGTGGCGGCCTGTAAGAGCGCGTGCCTTGCGTTTAACTCGCCGGAGTTTTGCTGCACCGGAGACCACGCGACGCCGGAGACTTGCTCGCCGACGAAATTCTCGGGGATGTTCAAGAACGCTTGCCCGAGCGCGTACAGCTACGCGTACGACGACGCTTCCAGCACTTGCACTTGTACCGGGTCGGATTACTTGATCACCTTTTGCCCAACCGGATCATAAACCGGGTCGGGCCGGGTCGAGTTCTCACGTTTCTTTTGCCACTGTAGTTTTTCTGATTTCCCCCCTTTTTTTACTCTTATTGTTACACAAACATACAGATTCATGCGCATTGTGTTTCTGAATTTATATCATTTGTTTGTTAGTCAATGTTCAAGAAGAAGGAGAAATCAGATAATTTATATTATAAGCACAAACGGAACTCTCAATCTTGATGTTTTTTTAAACCATGAAAATCAAAACTATAATCTAAAATTTATATCACAACAACAACATGAATTAAATTCATCTTCTCAGTAAAAGTTAGATCGACTTGGGACACTGGTTTCATATTTTTGCTGTAAAAACACAACATTTTGAACATATCTTCTCGACCTTGATGCAATCAATAACCCAAATGAACGAACTCAGCATATTTACATTCTAAAAAACCAAAGTCTCCACATCGGCTAAAGACAAGATTCAATTGGAGTTTCAGAGGGTTTTTGTCTGTCCCAAGTCATTGGTCCTTCTGGAAGTACTCTACTTACATTGGCTAACAGAGAGCAAGAACTGTCTGTCTACTAGTAACCCTAACCCGAGAAGAAGAGATCTAATTACTAAAACCATGAATGGCCAAACAAGCAGATGGGTAGATACAAATGCAGATTGAGAGGAATCTGGCTTTTAGCTGATGCAGTTAAGATCGCCATTTCTGGGTTCTTTTGTCTCCCACTTACAGACCTTTTTCGTTCTTTTCGCAGCCTGAACGAACCCCACAATTACCTGTAGCTCGTCCATTTGCTGTAACGAATTGTGCATTTCATGATCATCAGATGTAAATTCGAATAAAATGACTCGTGCCTGGTTTCAGATTATGTAAAAAGTACCTGTGCCATGAAGTGCCTCTGAACGATTTCAATTAGTTGCTCCTTTGATGGGTTAGGAATAGCATCGACCTACAAGATTGCAATGTGACCAACCTTTAGGAGAAACAAACCAAAAGTGGTGTGTGAAAAGGCTGGGTTTTTTTTTCGTGAGGAACTCACGAGGTTAAAATGTCGCCAGTATCTCTGCAAGGCAGGCATATCCAGTTTGCTAAGATCGACCTTCTGCACGAAAGCAAATCACCCCATCAGTAGTTGAATCTTGTTCTTGGCAATTTTTAGCAGCCAAAAGGGAATAAATTTGACAAAGTACCCATTGGACAACAATGGGGAAAAGGAATTGCAAAAGTGAGAGGCCTACCATGTTCACAGGGGGAGTAAAAACCGAGCTTTTCGACTGTGAGTCACAAGATAGGGACCTGCTCGTTGTCTTGTGGGATGACCGATATGAGCGGTTTGCCCTCTGTCTGGGCTTATGGAGTTTCAGTGTGTCATCAGATGCTAGCAAAAGGATGAATTTCCAAGTCATCGGACCAAAAGAAGGGAGATCAATTGAAGTTTGCAGCTTTATTCCAAACACCAATCCACCATTCATAACACAATCCAGACATCTCAAACCTTTAGAATTCATTGGGAACCGAAAATTTTTATAGATTTTCCCACAGTCGTCGATTATGCCAATGTTCAGTGATGATATAAAACTAAACTATATTTCGCTTGAACACTAACATGTTGTCAGGTACTAACATTAGGACAGAGAGACAAAGAACAAAGCTTACTCATATCAGAGCCATTCCACTGTGTGTTCTCGAATTCAAGGTCATCATCTTCCTCGTTCCCAGTAGGAGCTTCAATGACGCTGAGTGCATTCCTCTGCAACTTTACTTCTATTCCATTAGTCAAAACCTGAAAAACAAGACAGCAAATACAATGCTGTCGTTGAATAAAATGCACAAATACCGACATACCACCGATAACATGATATCTCGTTACTATCAAATAAATTCAGGATTTTTTCTATATGTGAATGGTATGAGACAGAAGCTGGTGGAACTTCATATCGAAATTAGTAAACTATATCCGTGGCTATGAGGAAATGGTATATTAATCCGGGATTTGTTAAAGCCGGAATATGCTGAAGTGACAGAGACAGACACTATGGAAAGAAAAAGATCCTACGGAGCCATTTATAATACACAACCAGACAGGAGACTTCTAGAAAAGCAACCAGCAAAAGGAAAAGAGAAATCGGCAGAAGAGCCAATGGTCAGAATGAAAACGACATATATAAAAAGGAAGAACAAAACTCTAAACTCATGATTCTGATTAATCACAAGCAAACAAAATCTAAAAGACAGCTTGAACCCACAAGAGGAAAAGGATAAGATTTTGCAAGAAACCATGATGGAAAAAAATTAGATACAATTGCAGATTGTTATGATGTAACGTAAACAGGCGCGCAAAATGAAAAGGTTACCTTTTTCAAGACAATGGTTACAACTAATGTACGAACTTGAAAACATTTAACCCTGTTGAAGACTCCTATGATTGAGCCTGAATCTCAGCAAGAAAGATCGACCCTTTTTCTAATAATACTTCTTATTTTCACAGTAACTTTCAGAGAATCTTCCACATAGTAGAGGCAATCTGGGTTTGATCAGACACAGACAAAGAAAGACCCAAACAAGGAACAAAAAAGAAACTGAATTCTTAAAACTTAATGGATGATCTGAGGACCCAAACGCAAGACCAAATCCAAAGATCACAAAGGACAGTTCACTCGCTCTACAAAACAACAAGCTTAATCAGACGACCAAGTCGATTAGCTACTATCATGCATTTTAATGGGAAACGATGCAATCGCTGAATTCAGTTGCAAAAAGAAAACATGCATGCAAAAACCCACACCCCAGATTTCGAAATTAAAATCTAAAAAGAGGCGAAGAACAAATCAGTAGGTCGACCAAAGGACCTGTATATATACGCTGATGCGAAGAGTTATTCAAAAGCAATTCGGAATATTTTACATATTTTTGTTTTCTTTGTAATAGGGGAAAAATCGTTTTCTTCATTCAAAATCTGGACATATTAGAGATCCAAATTCAAAATTCAAATAAACCCCCGTCATCCTCGAGCTAATCAAATTCCAAAATTCGAATTTTTTTACCATGCAATGTAGAGACGTCAAAGACAAATTTAGCCCTAGAATTCATCGAGATAAAACAACAACACACATTTCCATAAACGGCAAAAAGAACTCAAACCCAATTAAATTCCATACCAGCCAATGCCAACCACCAAGTCCGACGGCTTTTTTAACGACGCCTTGGAGACCAACGAGAACCGATTTCGTACGGTTGTTCCCCGTGACGACGACCTTGGTATGACGCGGCAAGAGCGACAACTCCTCTTCGCTATTACTCTCCCCGCAGCAACTCTGCAACGGCGGGGATAC